TATATATATATATATATATATATATATATATATATATATATATATATATATATATATATATATATATATATATTGTAATGAACACAAATAAAGCAATCAGACCATCATCATCACCATGTGAAGTAGATGAACACACTTCACACACTGATCTAATCACCTTCGCTACAAAGGAAAACATTACATAGAAGCATTATTCATCTGTAAGCCCCTGCATTCTGCTGCTGCATCTTCTTCTACAAACACCTTCCTCCATATCCTGCATTCCTGAAGAGCGCCTGCTTTACGTCCTCGGCGCTTACGACTGCCCTCTGATCCATGTCCTGTGTAGCACAGCCATCGGCGGCGGAGGACGACCAACATGAAGATTTCATCGTCTCAGAAGTGCAGAAACTAGTTGCAATGTGTAGCCAATGCCTGCAGATGTCTTACCTCGGAACAAGACGCCTGCATGCCGAAGTCACTGAAGCAACTCACCACGCATTGTTGGATCTCCAGTCCCAGCGCCTCCAGGGTGCTCACCGTCGACAGCAGAAGACCCGGCTTGGCCGCGCAGCAGATCTCGATTCGGGTGTCGTTGTCTCGTCTCTCCACCTCGAACTGCAAGATCGCTTTGCATGGGGGTTATCAGATTCGAAGCCTGTCATCGAGCTTTAGTGCGAGCCCAGCACAAACATTACCTTGGGGGAGTTCCTCACCAAGGCCTCGTTGGAGTTCAACTCCTTGAAGATGCTCAGTAGACTCGCCTGCTCCGGGCTGCCGTCGATCTCCTCCTGCAGGCTCTTGATCCTCTCCAACAGCTCCTTCATGTAGTCGATGGTGTCCCCGAGAATGGATGTTCTGTCCATCTGGTGAACCCAAAGTTTCTATCAGCCCATCTGATGGCCGGTCATAAGAACATGGAGGACTCTGGAATCGCTTACCTTGCTGATCTTGGGAACAACAGATCGCAGCATGGATAGCCGATCGTTGAGCCGTTTCCTTCGCCGCCGCTCCGCCATTAGATTCTTGGAAGGCATCCCCTCGAGCTTCTTCTTCTGCTTCCTCTCCACGCAGCCGCTCAGTTCGAACATACTCGGCGCCTCCCCGGACTGCGCCACCTCCACTTTGCACGCGCTCTGCCACTCTCCATGGACGAGGCCGAGCTCGCCGTCGTCCAGCGTCGACCTGACCGACGAGGTCTGGATCTCCGGCGCCGCCGTCGTGGCCGCCGTGTACACGCCGCCGCCTAGCGGACAGTACAATTCGCTCAAGCAGTCGAAATTAGGATCCACGGTCATGGCGACGCCGCCGTCGAAGGCAGTAAAGCTGGGAGGGACCAGCGCAGAGCTCTGCTGGAAGCAGTCCATGTTCCCTTCGCAGGAGAAGAACTCGCCCATTCCCGCCGGAAAGGAGTCCCATGCATCTCTTCTCAGGGAAAGCAGCTCCTCCAAGAAGCCATGCTCATCAAGCTCCATTGCTTTCCTGCCTACCAAGCACTACAAGCAGAAGAACAAAAGCTGAGGAATTATATATACAACCTCACAGCATCAAATGCAACATCCTTTCCAACGAGGTATGTTGTCGGCTTTGCATTAGAACCAATAGAGCTTAGCCTAATATCGCAATGGAATCTCCTCTCTCTGTCTCTCTCCCCCTGTGGTATTTCTCACGCAAATCTGCAGTCCTGAAGGGGTGTTATAATAAAGGGATGGACTGAGAGCTTTGACCCACAAGTCTGTCGGAATCGAAAAGGATGGAGGGAGAGAGCCGAGGCCATGTCAGGTTCCCTGGCCACGTACCTTTACATATAACTGGGCGTATATAGACATACATATATAAGTTATGTAACATGCAACAATCTCGCTCTCTCTCTCTCTCTCTCTGCTTGTGGTGAATGCAATGGCAGTGGTCAACGAAGACATGGATGACGACTTTTTGCAGAAAGCTGAAGGAGTGCTGCTTGAGCTGATTGCATGGAGCTGGGAGACTGATTGGCCACCATTATATATATATATATATATATATATATATAAATGAAACGCGAAGAAAACTAGTCAATGAAGTGGACTGCAGGATTCAGCAATAATAAACATGAAGGCTGAAGCTTACCGTGTTCACGACAAGTTATCCGACTGCCGCAGATTGCTATGTATTCATTTATAACAAAGAAAGTAGAGGAATACAATTTGCTTCGATTGTGGTGGGTTCATCAAACACAAGCAAAACACTCGTCATTTTCTACTCCCACGTAACATATTTGATTTGGCAATTGCCGAAAACCCCCAAGCAAGCGGCGTGTGCAACTTATTGTGACCATTATTGTTCATTCTCGTCTGGTATTTATAAGACTCATTCGAACCTCCAATAGACGAATATGTGAATGGGTTCATGCGGATTTCCTCTGGGAAACATACTGAGCTAAATTAATGGGTTTCCTCTGGAAATAGATATTAGGGTTGTTTATTGACCGGTCCTGTCCTTCCGTGTAGGTGTTGACGAATGTTTGTTAAGTCATATCATGTCTTATCAATGCCTTCTATCACAATATATCTCATATAAATCAAAATCAAAATCAAAATTAATTCTACAATATAAATATATTAGAAATAAAGTTAAAAATTAATTTTGTATTACTAAAAGATTAATGAGTAGAATAGAATTGTCCTAAAATATATTATAGATCTCAACACATTTGTCACATATTTCAATGATAATTACATATCCATATAATTAGTTTAAAATAATGAAAACTTTAGATTTTATATATTGAAGTTGTGTTACACTTTGAATCATTTAAGTTTATGGATTATAATGATATGCATTTACCATGTACCGTACTTAGACCTGATAATTAATAAATAATAAAAAGAATAGTATAAATAACGCATTACTTGTTTCAAGAACAATGGGGGATGAAGTCGTCCAACGTGCAAGTTTTCGCACATACAAACAGAAGGAAAAAAAAAAAGCTAATAATCAAAAGATAGCCTAAGTTGCGAGAATGTACAGAACCAATTGTGCCTTTTTAATGGCAGTAGTAGTCATCATAATTTTTGCTTGCTTTTGCTTCATCTTACAAGCTAAACTTCATTGGAATGTTGCTGTACGACGAGCATGGTTTAAACAACTGAACCAAATCATGCACTACATCACTCATGATCAATATTATATGTAACCATCGTTGCATTATAGACTAGCAGCTTTTTTCGTGAAATGTGCCTACCAATTAAATATGATGCGGATGATATTATTTAAATGATATAAAGAGGACAGTTGTTCAGCTAACGTATGGAGAGCAGAGGAAGTACAACGCATTATATCTCGGTCAAGCTAAAATACATTATACCTTTGATTATGTATATAGTTATTCTCTTCCCACTACCGAACAGTGAGTGCGGGCTTAGAATAAAAGCCGAGGCTCATTCTAATTTACGTCACGACTAGAGGCACGAAGTAACGCTTCGAACGAGCACCATCACCGTCGTTCGTGGGTGGAGTCATGACTCAAATCCCGACACAAAGTAAGCACGAGTTATGGATGAAGCGACTCATCCTCCTCCCCTCCTCCTCGTCCCGTGTGGGAAAGAAAGAGTGTGTGGTCAAAATTTAAACCCAGGTTGACAAACCTCGAAAATACAGGTGGCAAGGGCCAACATCACCATAAGCTCGGAGCATCTGCTTGACAGCCTCGTCTCTTCGTGCGTGGTGACAAGAGCTGGAAGCGAAGCCTTTATCTCTCTCTCTCTCTCAAAACCACGGCAGTGCAACTCGGCCCACAATATTGTTCTCACCACCTTCTCAATACCACCCATCTCTCTCTCTCTCTCCGAATCTTCTTGTCTCGTTTCATCTCTAATTAGACGCAGATGGAGACATGGAAGGGTAGGAGGAGAGGAGGCCACAAGAGGCCAGAGGCGGAGGACCTGCAGGCTTTTTTTCTCACCTACAACTTCGGGTTTCGCGTGTATATAGTAAAAAGTAGGGAGGGGTACGGGTTACAGATCCACCGGGCAGCCCTATTCAGCAGGCACTCCTTTCTTGGTTTCAGGGCTTCTTCTACAAGTCATGCAATCAAACAGAGGACAAGGCTAAGGCTCCGTAAAGGCCGGCTAGCTTTGCGTTGGCCTCATCCAGCTCGATCGGGAGAGAGAGGGAGAGAGATAAAAACACCTTCTCTTTGTCTTTGAAAAAGAACCACGGAGCGCTAAAATAATCGGTAGGAGAGAAGCAAGTTTTCGTGCGTTGAATCATCACAAGCAAACGAAACGAACCTGAAAAGGAGGGAGGGTGGGGGTGGCAAAAGACAAGGGGAAGCAGCCATCAGCGTCCGGGGAGAGCTTTCATCACCGGCGCGCGTTTGGTTCAGCTGGTCATTTCGTCTCGTGTACTGCTGGCTGGTTAATATATCTGCACCAAATTGCAGGAGCCACGGAATTAATTACATGAGAAAGCGAAAAGAGATACACAAGTGACAAAAGTTGCAGTGGTCCACGACCACCAGTTCAAATGTAGGTTTACGTGACTGTGACTTCACCGAGGGAAAGAGTGTACCGACGAGGATTGCAATTAGATGGTGACGACCCAACTTAACGTCAAGGAAGATGCTGTAACATTTGTCAAGGGCATGTTAGGTCCCGTTCAGATTACGGCCTAAATTATAGACACGCATAGTTCACATTAAAACCTGTGACTCCGACCTTTATCTATCCCATTCATTGGCTCCATCCTCCCATCAACTGTTTCCCATTCTAGTCATGACTGATCGCCTTTTCTGCCACCAGCATTGGATTAGATTAAAAGAAAAGAACTGTTAGCGTGTTTAGTTATCTCGAGCATTAGCAGAAATTTAATAAGATTCGAAGAATTATTTATAATGCCACATAGGTTTCTCACCTGCTAAAATAATTGGCAGCAGACGACGACACCATTTTGCTTGTCCCGAACATTCACGAGGGTACCACAAGTACATGGGCCACTAGTCATAGCAATAGCATTTAGCAAAAAGCCTGCAGAGTTGGTGATTGAATAGAATCAATCCATCTTGGCTTCAATGTCCACGACGCTGTGAAAAAGAAATGTTTCAGATTGCACAGTACAAGTTTTGATAATGCAAAAGTATTGAGATATCATACCAAAAAGGACCATGAATGGTCAATCCACAGTGCCCAGCCTCTGAATTCGGACCAGCAGTCCTCCTCGATCATTAACATTTCCTGTGGGTTTTTTCCACTACCTCAGAACAAGTGCTTGCCGATGCCCAAGGGGGTACATCGTGGTACAAAGATGCCTTGTGATGCAGCAGCTTGGGACATGGGAGAAGCCACAAGGGTTTACGTTACATGAGACCAGACAGGAATGGCTTGTGTCCTCGGAGTCCTCTCAATGCTCAGAATCCCAATACCCAAGTGATAGATGCCCCCAAGTAGCATCGTCTTTTCATAATTTTCAACTTTCAACCCAAGTTTCATTCCATGAATACGGAGACTGGCATGACAAAGCGCACAACTGCCTGCCTGAATCCGAATAATGATTACCATAAGTCATGAGCTCACTTGAGATGCTGCTCATAAGCAACAGAATGCAGCCAAATGTGTACCCATTTGCAATCTAAATGTAGTCGATATGTTCGATAACGTTGACCCCATTGAAAACCAAAGCACATTAAATGCAAGAACGTAGCCCCAATCTTGGGGATCCATTATCGCCACCACCACCACTCATCAAGACTGTAGCCCCCATGGTTTCTTCCACCACCACTTTGATACACTGCCGCAGAGGCATTAAATGCAAGTATTAAGAGGGGGAAAGAAACAAGTACATCAGAAACAGATAGATGACTTCAACCAGTCGAAATAACACTTTTACTGATTTCAGAGGAAGAACTCACGATTCCAAGTGCTAACCAGTTCGAGGGACTTTCCAGATTTAGGTGTTCTTCCACCTTGACTGAAATGAAACAACTAGTGCTGTGTTTACATTTGCACTACATTATCATATACTCAAACAAAAAGAGTGATGCAGCATATGTTGCTGCGCAACCACAAGACAGAAAACAACATAAAGCCTTATTAGCAAGGGAAGGGGAGGAAGAGGGGGCGGAAATCATCTGCTGAAGCATGCCATAACTTAGGTACCATGAAGTCCAACTACGAGTTGGTGATGTCTGTTGATTAGTTGTGAGAATTGAAGTGAATGCTGATGTTTAGTTGAAAAGTTTTGCTATGTAAGTTGATCTGATGCATGGAAAACTGTTAAGGAGCCCTATTCAGCAAGTGGAATGAATTTATACTAATGAACTCATCATCTTTGATTGCTGTGAACAAATGGGACACAATGGAGAAAAGATCCTCAAGGTCCCTTTCCACAACCCTGGATAAAATTATCCTTATGTAAAGAGTAGTTCCATAATTTACCACTTCATTCCCGCCATTACATAATTCAGATAATGAAAATACAGATTAAAATAACAAACATCATAGTCAGACAAACTAATGGAATTAGCAAACCAAAGAAATAAAGAAAACCTGCCACGACCTCTGGACTGTGACCTCATCTGAGTTCCAAGTTGAGAAGACCGAGATCTAGAATGGGACCAACCCCTGCCCAGATCATGATCTCTAAGGAGATGGAGATCGAGAGCACCAGAAAGGGTACCAGGTAAGAATGCAGAATCTTAGAGCATCATTTTGGAATCAATTAAAGAGCCTGATGTGACAACAAGACAAGGTCCCAACTATTCATGGTCGGCTACCTGAAGAACCTAATATTTTATCACAACAATTACTAAAATTCCTGTGCCCTTGCAATTGGTATTACATGACAAACTAAGATAGAGAACAACTAGCCATAGAATCTAAGATGACCATTGAAAAGTAAATTCACCTTATCCTTATAAATATAACCCATTAAAGAAGAGAGCAACCATTTAATACTCCGGCAGTTTGTCAAGGAGAAAAAATGGATAATCAAATAGAGTGTAAATTCAACTCGGAGATGAGAATACACAAAAAAAGGAAAAAGAAAACAAAGTGATCAATAACACAACTGCTTCAGCAAGATAATAATAAGATTTTGGATATCTCTACTCTTTGTACAACTTATAATTATCAAAATAAGTGCAAGGTTGCCATGCTGATGGGTGTGTCAACAAACATTAAAATGTATCATGCCAGTGCTAACAAATGCACAAGGTAACAACATATGTTTAGGATAATTTTTAACTTGTGCCACTCAGCAGAGATGCATGCTAACAACTCCTATGTTAACTACCATGGTATGATTTAACCAATTTTTGGCTCATGCCACTCATCACAGGAGCATGCTAACCATCCCATGCCGACTAGCATGGAATGAAATAATACCATGCCTGGAATGGTATCGAAATGCCCCTGTGCTATAATACAACTATACTTGGTTAAGTGAACCACATGGAGGCATCGGCGGTTGAAGTTCAAAGTAGGAGGTATTCAACAGATAAATCTTTGTATTTAATGAAGTTAAAAGCCGATGTCTACAATTGCAGGGAGAAGCCAAAGGAAGACAACAAACTAAAATTAACTTAATCCCACAATTGATGGCTCCTATAGTCCTGAAGTTCAAAGTATGAGTCAGGCTGATATCCCTTCCAAACCTTCAACAGTATACTCAACAGATAAACCTTTGCATTTATTGAAGTTAATAGTTGATGTCCACAATTGTAGGGAAAAGCAAAAGGAAGAGAAATAGCCAAAACTAACTGCATCCCAGTATTTGACATCAATTCAACCAGCATCATGACGTTGTAATGCAAAATAATTATACAAATAAGGACAATAAAGAACACATTGTGATAAATAAGGTATCTACTAAAATGTAAACAACAATGTCACAAGCATATGACCCTCATGGTTCACTAGATTGACCTAGACCAATCTCAGGTGTACTTGATTAACTAATAAATAAATAAAATAGAGCTAAGCGGAGAGAAAAGAAAGGGATATCATAACAAGAGGAAAATTGCTAACAAAATAATGTATTATCGACTGAGATAGCACACATGGGGAAGAAAGAATATGCAGTAAAAGAGAATATTAACCTGAAGCAGTACAGACAGTGGATCCTAAGCAGCACCAAGTACCACATTTGAAACTTCAGCTCTTTTATGTAATAAATAATTCTACATGGCAAGAAACACAACAGATCCATGACGCAAAGAAAAACATTATGCACACAAGTCACCTTGCAATTCTTGCTCTCCATTTGGTCCGCCAACTTTATTGATTACCAGAAGCTCCCACATTAGTTATATAACACTGCCCAAAAGCTAGAACGATGGGCCAATGCAAGACAACAAGGTGGACTTCACGGCCTTGATATTAAAGCAGTAGAATTTGGAGGTAAAGATCCCCTGTCCAGTTTAACCAGCCCGATATGAGACCCTCGGGGTTCAATGATTCCATAACTCACATCTCCTTTTCCATCTGATAGGGCATATTTTATTTTTGGTAACCTATCCTCCTACCGCTATTCACGACCACATCAGCCTCAGGGTCATCACGCCGGACTGCACCCCCCGGTCAATGCCGATTCCGCAAAGGTCGGATGGCGCAGACCGAGTATCATGCCATCCTGCAGGAGTCAGGATGGCGCCGACTGAGTACAGCACCATCCCGTAAAGACCGGATCGGCACTGACCAAGTACAGCACCGTTCCGCGAAGGTCGGGACGGTGCCGACCAAGTACAACGCTGGCAATCATAAATATGACAGGTACGGCTGGTCCCCCGGGGGAAAGATAAAAACCCCTCGTGGGGGCGACAACATAGGTGACTAATTTTTCACTCAATTCTAACAAGATCTTCGGAGGGGTCGAAATTGGGAGCCCCCTTCCCGACCCGATCTGTGTGCAGGATCCGTTGACAGAAAAGAGGATGGGAGTTTCCCGACTTCGGAGCCAGAGCCCAAGCCCGACTTCACCGAAGCACGATCGCCGACGTGGACGATCCTACGCATTTGGGACTGAACCAAGCCGTGCTGACTCCATCTGCCACCGTGTGAATGATCCCTATCACCGCCCAATGTTTTTCTTTCCGAGAGTCAGCACATTGTACCCACACCGACCCGACTACTAGGTCAACAACAGAACCCTAATCCTCTCTCCAATTTCCCGACATTATCGCCTGCAATTGCTTCACAGACTCTATAACTCAAGGTCCCGTGTTTGTTCATCACACCTCTGTGGAACCGACCCTAAAGCATCAACGCCGCAATACCCATCATGTAACATGAGATGAAGAGACCCGGTTGACCAGAATCATAGCATGATATGAAACAAGAAGTAAAGCATCCGAGTCCCAGGGTGTTAAAGATGAGAAGAAGATGATCCGAAAGAAGAATGAGGTCGATTAATGAAGGATTTACCTCCTGCGTGGAGAATCCGCCTGGAAGGAACCAAAGAAAGAGACTGGACGCCATGGAGATTACCACCATCTCGGGGATGGACGCGAGGGTTTCTCCTCGACCGGGTTCCTCCGACGAAGACGAGTGCCCACATGGCCCTCGAGTTGGATATTTATAGGGCTCGAACACCCGTATACTGTTCTGCTGTTGGGCTCGTCAATTAGGCCCATCCATCCTAAATTTTAATTTTTTGCTTTATTTCTTGTATGATATAAAAATACGACAGTTATAAATGTTTTTATTTTATTTATTTTTTTTTTCTGTGTGATTCTGTCGTCACACGTCAGCCAGATATTTTCGTTTTCGGTGCAGGAAGCACAGGCGAACTCGGTCACGTCATCGACCGTGTTCCACCAAAATAAAACATCCCGACCATCTCCACCCCGATACATACCATCCGTCGTGGCGTGTTCGCCAACCGCACGTTAACCAACCTATTTCCGGGGTTCGAGTATCAGTTCCATTAAAAATGAGCTACCCTCCTCCGAGAAAAAGATAGTTTATTTCCTTCACGGGTATTAATATCCGTTTCTGAGAGATGTTTCGTGGCCTGCATCGAGGCTCGTAGAGCTGTGGAGCCCTTAGAAGTGAACCCGTGGATGTGAGCCACGTCTGCAACGCCTGCTGTTGTCGTGACTTAATCGTATCGCTGGTATCTATTATTCCTATCTGCGTTCTTCGGAACCGCCACATTGACCGCCGGTAAGCGCTCGACATCACGTTCGGCTTGGTTGTCCGGAGTTCCTCTGTCGCTCGATGGAGTCCGTCGCGGCATCGGTAGCGATTCCCTCGTCGCCGTCTCCCCTCGCCTTATTCTCCCCCAGCAGGAGCGTCCCTCGACGCCCATCCTTCTTCCCGATCGCCTCCAAGAGTAATTCTCAACTTCTTCGTCCTTGTCCTCCTCCTCTTTGATTCGATCCGCAACCTAAAGTTCTCTTTTTTTCTGCCCTTTAGATAGGGAAGATGAGGCCGATCTCAGTTCGAAATCCGAGAGCACCAGTCTCGTGCCTTTCCTCAGCAATCGGGCTCCCATCTCCCCCCTTCCCAAGGTACATCACCTGATCCGCTCTTTTTGGTGTCTTTTGTGGTATCTGTCTAAGATGCGTTTCGTGATTCGTTAGGACACGGCGATGGGCTTGGTCTTAAGCGCGGCAACTGGAAGAGGGTGGACGACGGGATCGGGAATGGAAGGTCCTCCGGTCCCCGCTGACACCGATTCCGCCGATCAGGCGGTTCTCACCTTTCCCTGGTCCCTCTACACCAGATCGCCCCGTCGTCGGATGCGCGTGGTCTTCACCTGCAACGTCTGCGGCCAGCGGACGACTCGTGCCATCAACCCCCACGCATACACCGATGGCACCGTCTTTGTCCAGGTACACCTTGCGTTGTTCGAACTCAAAAAGAAGTACCTTTTTATTATGCTTTTCTTGCTTGTGCTCTAAAAATGGTTTTTTTTTCTTCGATTCTTGCTTCAGTGTTGCGGCTGCAATGTGTTCCATAAACTGGTTGACAATCTGAATCTGTTCCATGGGATGAAATGCTACGTGAGCCCGAGTTTCCGCTACAAGGGAGACATGCCGATCGATTACACTGATGCAGATGGTGATCAGGATATCTTTCCCATCGTATGAGGTGAAGGAGTGGCGTCATGAAAGTGATCTGTAGATATCCCTGTTTATTTGTGACTATGAACAGTGACATTACATATTTAGAGATTATCTTTCTTACAGAAGTAATATCTGATGGGATTTGTTTCTTTTGATAGATACATACGTTTAATCCTCTGCTTACATTGTGATTTTAGTTCATATTTGACATAAAACAAATCACAAAGAGTTTATCAAGCAAAACTTGGCCTTTGAGGTGATCGAGTGGCATTGCTTTGTCCTCTTGCATCACGACGGCTCTCTTAGTTCATCGTCTTTTCCTAGTTATACAAGCAAGACTACTGCCTCTTCGATTTAGTTGTTTGTCATATCAATCTTGAGCATCATATTTCTTGTGTGCTTCATTTTTCTTGTGGACAGAGAACAACTTCTCGGCTAGGATATAGATTTCTGCCATTAATTGTGCTGTGAATCATGGTATGGTGATATAGGAGCATTCTTAGATTTTGAGAACGTCAAATATGATAAGAATTTTTAGCTAATACGAGTGGAAGAGAAGCAGTTTGAATTATTGTGGCATTGACTTGAATCTTTCTCTGTCTGGTCAATTGATGAATGTGAACAGGAGAAAGGGGAATTAACAACCATTTGATCCAATTAAATCGAACTAAACGTCTCCTCATTCAACGATAATAACTCTTCCAATGAAACATTCATATCGTTGTGCGTAGCTATTTGACTTTGTCTTCGTTGCAAATATTGAATAGTGAATCATGGTGACGATTCCTCGATATTATTCTCTTTTTTTCTTCTTTTTCTCATTATACATTTCCTTCTCCCCCCTCCTCCTCCGTTGTCTCCTTATCACAACTCATAGCCCCCGCTCCTTTATTGCAACCATCCTTGCCCTTCTCACGACTTTACCTCGTCATAACCCCATCCCCTCGTTGGCATGTTTCCTTGATCCTTTTTTATCTTTTACTCTACCTCGCTTACGGATTATGATAATTTTGATTATGTTTATATTTGAATATATTTATCTTTTGTTATGTATAAATTTTAGTATTATTAATTACATTTGATAGTAATTTTATTCTTTAAAAAATTAAATTAAATTAATTAGGAGGATATTGAGTACCCGTGAGTTCTTCACCCTCAATAGGGATTTCCCATCCTTACCTTGTCTTAACGAGGAATAGGACTAGGAGAAAAGATGAGAGATGAGATGGGGACGAAGAAGGATTCCCCCATCCTACCCCATTAATATCTCTACACAAAATAATAATAAATTAATCATATTTAGCAATACCCTAATTAATTTTTTAAAATTTTTGAGTTAATTAATTAATCGCATGCCTAAACTTTTTTATACGAATAAGGAAGTAGGAATCAAATTGATTTTCCTTAACTATATTGCTCAAATAAGGAAATCAAATAATTTAAATAAAAAGTACAAATTAAGGAATCTTTTATTCAGGAAATGGGAGAAAAATATATGTCGATTATGACAACCGTGCGTCGTGTTAGAATATTATTATTATTATTATTATTATTATTATTATTATTATTATTATTATTGATATTATTATTGTTGTGGGAAACAACTTTGAGTCGTGGCCTCGGGGCCGACGTGGCTCGGTTCGGGTCCGGACGACAGGGATCTCCCTGGGGCGTTCCTCGAGCCCGCCAAGGTGGTCGAATGCGGCAGTCCGATTCGGGACGGGGTCAGCCGTCTCCGCTGGAGGGGCCTCCTCGGCTGGGGACGCGCCCCGTCTTCTTTCCTGCACACAGGTCGGGTCGGGAGGCTCGACCCGACCCCTCCGACGATCGAGTGAGTAGATGGTGGAGGGGGTAGGAAGGAGAAGAGTTTGAGGTGTCTCCCTGGTGTGTTCTCCCCTTTGTCCTCCACCTGCTCGTTCAGAGTGCGAGGGTATTTATAGGGAGGCTTACTGTTTCCATATGTGCTCGCTTGTATGGGGCAGGCTGGTTGTGTCTGACATTGGTTTGGCGTGACGTGAAGAAATGCGCCTCGGCCTGTGTTCCGGTCCGTTTGACCAGGTGCTGTCACATCGTCCGATGCGTGAGGCGTCATCTAACGTCAACCGGGTCTTATCATAATTACTATCCTCATCATATTCCCCCCCGGAAAGAAGCTATGCGTCGGACGTTGTAACGGGAGTTTGAGGCATGGCTTCAGCTTTCAGGCGGGCTGGCCGCGAGGGCGCGATCTGGGGGAGCATGGAGCCGAGGAGCACGACGCAGGCAGGCTGGCCGCGCAGGCGTGTCTCGGGTAGCATAGTGCCGGGGGCATGAGCGGGGGAGCCGAGAAGCACGACGTAGGCGGACTGGCCACGCAGGTGTGTCTCAGGGGCATGAAGCCGAGGAGCACGAGGAGCCGAGTAGCACGACGTAGGCGGGCAGGCCGCGCAGGTGTGGTCTCGGGGGCATGAAGCTGAGGTGCACGAT